GGCAATACAAGTTCAAGGGTGGCAACAAACAGAACGACTTTGCTCCGAGCCCCGAGCAAACCGACGAAGAGACACAGGAAAAGACAACGGATGCATCCTCGGCAAAAGCTATATTCTGCCTCACAAGAAAGGGAAGGGGGTGTCAGAGTCAATTGAGCTCATGGACTCGGTCGTGTCGTGCCTCAATAAAGTCCGTTATCTCTTGGAAGTGGACGCTGATGTTGCCTTACAGACACGGGACGGCAAAGGAGGGATTCTCCACACCTAACTAGTTGCATTGCCCATGCCACCTCTCTTTAAGAACCCCCAGATGCAGCCACCGGATTCGCGTCTTTCTTGCATTGGGGCTCCCAAATACAATCTGCCGGGCTGTGCCTGAGGCACTCCATGATATGGCCCCGCCTCTCTGACAGCGGCCCTGAGCACTCTTGCCGAAGTCTAGTCTAGCAGTCTAGCATAAACCCACCCTCCAACCCCCGAAGAGCTCTTCTGATCAAGGCCCTAATAAGCCCGAAAGCCTAAGAATACCTTGCCACATCAAGCCTCAAGCCAAGGCCCAGGTGCAGTCTTCTATGTCATCTGCGCCGATGATCTTCACCTACCCGGGGCAGGTGGTTCCCACAGTCTAACTGCGGACCTGCATGGGGGCCCAACGTCCAAGCTCAAGCTACATCTTGAAAGCTGCCATACGAAACGATGGTATCAAAGCGCAACAACATCCAATCGGCATCAGCTTCACATCAACCGAGTAAACGAAACGCACCAATTCGGGCCTCGAACTTCTTCTCAAGCTGTCGAAGATCGTCCTCCCCTTTGCCCTGGGAAGGTGTGTGGGATTGGCCCATCGGACGTTTCTCTCTCCGGGGGTTTGCTTTTTATGGGATCAAGGAGGCCCTGGAGGAGAGGGCTCTAAGGATGGAGGCTAAGAGGGAGCCTGTTGAAACCTTAGGGAAGCCTTGGCGAGCACTCGGTAGAACAGGGGATTCTTGGTTTTATCCCCCCCATCCTTAAGGATCCCATAGTTATGCCTTAGAAGCGAAGGGTCATAGCCTACTATTACATAGGCTTTGGGGCTTCAGGAAGGGCTGTACATAAGCTTGTCTGGCGTGCTTCGGCACTGCGAAGTCATACGGCGCTAGTTCGGGCGAACCCAAATTGAACGCAAAAGCCATCATCCCTGAACCCCAAACCCTAAACCCCGACTCCCAAAACATGGACACGTGTTCAGGGACGTCAGGGCTTCTCCGTCTGCCTGATTGCTGCAACTACCACGACGACTACATGGCTTCTACTTTTGGGGCCCTTCAAAGCGTTATGAGTAGCTACCTCTCCCTAGGGCTCCAGTTACCTAAATAGTAGGTTACTGGGGTACATAATATATGGTTAGTAACCCACTATTTAGGTAACTGGAGCCCTAGGGTCTAAAAGGAACCAAAGGGAACTAAGAAGCTCCCCACAGTGCCAGCTAGCTACGCAGCTTCGAAGGCGATTGCTTACTGCTGCTGCACCTTCCGTCAACCAGAGCCTACTCGCAGGTCCTTCCTGGACCCCAACAGAACCTGCCTTTTTGGGGCTCTTTATTAGTATGATTTCTTTTTATTTATATAAGTCCTTAAAAGGGTAGGCTTTTCAGGGGTCCAGGCAAGCCCTAAACCCTGGGAGAAGAACCTAATCGGAAAAACTCGAGCATTGCCGGGCCATCGCGGTCATCTCATAGAGATTCTTCTGGGCAGCATTGAGGATGGCCTTGATGCCTGGAAAGACATGGGCAGTGGTCTAAATTAGGGTCACTTTAGGGTCCGCTTTATACGGGTGCCGCACTGTATTGGGGACCCCAAAAGGGACCCGACTTTAGAGAACTGCCCACATACTTGCCAATGGGGACAAGAAAACAAAAGAGCACGAGGAGAAGATTGGAAGAAGCGAAACAGAGAAGAGCAGAAAGAGATCTTGACCCTAAAGGCTCGCAACCTAACCCCACAGTCCCCTAGGAGGAAAACTATTTAGAACACTCTCAACAGTCGATGCCTCATAATGCAGGGGCAAGACCCACCACAACTGGTGTTGGAATGCAAACCCAAGGAATGATTAAGCTCTAGCGAAATCGCACGACCACAAAAGACGCGGTCACTCTGCGCAGGGTCTTGCACAACTTAACTTCGAAGGGCTCTCGGAAAACGGACCACCAACGACTTCCGACTCCGCTTTTGTTTTTTCGGGGTGTAAGCATATCAAGAACCTGGATGTCACGTCGCGGGGGCCCTGGCAACAAGATCCGAGCAATGAAGCCTGAAGCCATATGGGCGGTCTTCAATGTTATTGTTCCTGGAATTGACCTAAAT